GAAGGAAAAAAAAAAACAGTAAGTCCATGTATTGTAAGAAAGCATGGAGTTTGGGTTTGTCCGAACCATGGCCCGACCGAACTAATATGCATTCCTAGGGTAGTTTTTTCTTCCCTCTTTTTTTTTTTTAACCTATCTATTATAATTCAGACTAAATATCAACAGTTTGATTTATTTTATAAATTTATTAAAATATTTTTAATAAATTTATTTTATTAAAAGTATTTTAATAAATTTATAAAATTAATGTACTTTCATAATACCTTATGAAAACATAAGAGTTTAGCCGTTTAGATTTTTTCAAGATTTAATAATAATAATAATAATAATAATAATAATAATAATAATATTTTTTTAATCAATCGTCAAACATGACGGTTTAAATCCCTATTCGTAAAGTATATAAGTTCGAAGGCAAAGTGCAGTAGTTCTATTCCCGTTTCTAATTCCTCTAGGCAGCCTATCTCGCCTGCTCCTCAGAGTCTTAAACCCTGTAAAGAGGAAGGAGTAGCCATGGCTGTGGACAAATCCAAGCTTCAAGACGAAGATTCTATTACTCGCTTCTGTAAAGTCATTCTCGGCTGGGACTATTTTCGCCTCCTCAAACAGTGCAGTGTATATCTTCTCCTCCTCAGTCTATGCTATTACATGCTCTGTGATTTCTCTGTGCGACTAACTGTGTTTTGACGTTCTCTCTGCGATTTTGGATGCAGAACTTTAAAGATGCTGCATCTGATTTGAAGGAAGTTAAGGATACGTACAATGATGTGGATGAATATTTAGCTACTTTCGAGCCACTTTTATTCGAGGAAGTTAAAGCACAGATACTTCAACTGAAGAAGGATGGAGAAGAAGAAGAAGGTATGGTGTCTATGTTTTCATTCTGAGAAAATTTATGAAATCAAAAATTAGTTCCGAACTCGAGTTTAGGCGAGATTTTGAGTTTTTTAGGTTGTTTTATGCTCTTACTTTATTATTGCAGTCAAACTGACTTTGGATTGATTTATTAATTTAGTCTCTGTTTGATTCATTGGAAATTTTGAGAAGAAGATTTGTTTTCGGTGTAATGCATTTACTGTAAGGTATGGAAGAAGGTAACCTTTCTCTCACGTTTGTATTGTGCATATCAGCTGCGGAGTGGAATCTATGGCTGGAAAAAGAATCCGATGAGTCAGATGGAATTCACTTAAAAGCTGTTGCTTATGAAACTGATGAAGAGGAATCAGTATCACAACACGATCTTCTGCTGCTTTCAAAAGAGCAGGTAATTGAATCAACTGACCATATTAAGATTTTTGTTTTCTGTGCTGCAACATCTGATTTTGTAACCTTTAGATATTACTTACTAGGTTAATAACTTCGACTTTTGAGAGATCAGAATGTTGGGTCTGATAATATCATAAGAAATGGTTCTGAATGTTTTCTAGTCTTTTAATCTATTTAATTTAAGTATTTGCAACTAGGTTTGAAATCTTTATGTGGTCCTTATTTTCTTTCATCATAGTCCCTGATGGGGTTGTTTGGAAACTTGAGGCAATTTTTATTCTTTTCTTTTTTTTTGTTGCTTTGCATCTTGCAGTTTAAAGGGGGCATCAAAAGCATCCCAACAACATATGCATTTGCATTGGTGGAGAATAGACAAAAGAATCAGCTTAGGCTCAGAATGTACTTAGGCGGAGAGTTCATTCGAGTCTATCCTGATGTTGAAAACTATTCTGAGAGACTGTCCCGTATGCAAGTTCTTTTAACTTCTGCTAAGGCAGTAAATAGATGCTTGTACACAATAAAGGTAACTGGATAACCTATGTTTTTAAGATTTGGTTTTTCATCATATTTGATTCTGGGTGTCATTTACTAAATGCAATATGTTTATCAGATTTGCAGTTTATCGACCATTGTCCGTGAGTATGTAGCTTTACGTTCAGTTGGTTCTCTTCCTTTCAAGGATTTAATATTAACAGCTTCTGAAAAGCACTCGGGTTCTAAGGATCAAGCATGGGAAATTTCTGGATCCCTGCATGATTATTTTGATGAGATTCTTAACAAGTCCCAAAAGGAAGCTATTGATGTGAGTCTTCAAATAATCAAGCCTAGACAATACTAAGTTGTCTTGCATTTTCTAGTTTATGTGACTTAGCTATAAGCAACTATTTGCTCAGATGCCACATTTGTATTTATTCCAGAACTAACCTAAGCAATGGCTCTGTTGCAGGCTGGTCTATCGCATAAGGTTTTTGTTCTGATACAGGTTTGGAACATTGCCTTCTTTTGGGTTCTTCTATATTTTCATTTCAACCTGCATCTTTTATTCAACAGTTTCCTATGTCATCCCCGTTTACAAACTGTATTTATTCTTCTATTTAATTTAATTTGTCTACACATTATAAAATGTGCCCTGAATTTGTCTTTATTGGAAGAAAATAAGAGGTTAAGTTTTCAAAACAAATGGAAAATTCAGTACTTGCTAGAGAAAGTAGGATACAATTTTTCACAAACTAACTTTGATGTGTGTTTGGGATTGTCTTCACATAATGCTTTTCCACGCAGCACACTAAACAAATGTTAATTTGTTATAATTAAATTGATTTTCGTTAATATTTTGTATTTTTTAGTAATTATAAAAATGGAAAAAAAAAATTTCAAAACAATTTTCAAACACTAACATTGTTTTTGGGATAGTACAATTTAGAAAAAACGGCAGCTGTAACCCTGTATAGCAATCCAAACACAGCCTTCTTCAACTGTTAGTTGATGTTGCCTTCACAATAAAGCCTGAGCTCAGTCAGTTATGTCCTAATCACAGCTTCGTCCAATCCTTTTGACTGCCTGCTTTAAGAACTATTGTTTCTTGTCAGCATATAGTTTCAACCTTTGCTACAGTCTTGTATTTTGTCGGCATTATGACTTCTGTATTAATGCTTGCAGATTCTGACCATGTTCTTTTTCTAGGGCCCTCCTGGAACTGGAAAAACACAGACCATCATTGGACTTCTTAGTGCTATTTTGCATGCAACTCCAGCAAGAGTGCACAAGTATATATTTACTAGCTTTCTATGTTCTTGCACTTCCCAAAGATTCTGTAACATGTCATTCTTAGTTTCCCAGTGTTCTTTGAAGTTTTGAGAAGCTTAGAGGAGGAACATGGTTGACCCCCTCAAGAAAGTGTTATTATTATTATTTTGTTGAGGCTAATTTGGTTATCTTTGTGCAGGGTCAGACTGCGTGAAATAAACCGTAAACCAGATCCACCTATTCAAAAAAGGTATGTCTTGGCCTCCAACTCAGGCCAATGCATTTTCTTTTGTTAATACCAATGACAATGATTACTGATTTCTTTACTTAGGCCTGCTTTTTTCTAAATATGCCCACAGCTGCGTTTTTCTAAATATGTAGTCATTAAGAATCAATGAAATGTATGATTTTGCATGCATTTATAAAGCAATAGCAGATCTGCATGCTCTTCTAGATTTTTTTTTTTTTTTTTAGGGATGATTTTGCATGCTCTTATAGATTTAAAAATAAACATATAATTTTTCCTTAAAATGGTTGATCAAAAAGTCTAGTTATGCATGATTTTGCACATTCCAACAAGGGAAAAGCTATGATACATTAGGAAAAAGCAGTCACACACACACACACACACATGTATTTTATTTTCCTAAAGTAAAAGATCCAGATATGTCATATTCTTTCTGTCTAGCTTGTTCTAAGGTTTCTGTTTCCCATGTTGGTCTCAATGCATTTGTTGCTTGTTTCTCATGAAGTACAAGACTTGAACTGTTCCTTTTCACTTACAGGCCCCAATATTGTACCATGGTATTTTGAGCTTACTGTTCTGTTTTACGTTCATGAACTCAACAAATTATTTTTGTATTCCACAGATATAAGCATTGGGAACATGCATCTCCATGGTTATTTGGTGCTAATCCCAGAGACATTATTATGCCTATTGATGGTGATGATGGTTTCTTTCCTACCACTGGGAATGAGTTGGTATGCTCGGGTTTTTACAATGGAATCTAGCTGTCTTCTACTCTATTATTATTCTGCTTAACTTCAATCAATCGGCAGAAACCAGAGGTTGTCAATTCAAGCCGAAAATATCGTGTACGGGTGCTAGTATGTGCCCCGTCAAACTCTGCCCTTGATGAGGTTGTGTTTCGCCTTCTAAAAACTGGTACGAATTTTTCTTGCATAGTTGCATTCATGTCTCCATTCCTCTTAGTTTTATATTACTTGAACATAGCTTTATGCAGTTTTTCACCCCTCCGGCCCTCCCAATGTTTTCACTTATTGTACTATTCTATAAGAAGCTTGATAATTCTGAGAAGTATAAAAAAATAAAAATTAAAAAAAGCAAATAAACAACAAGTGAAGGGTTGAATTATAGTGTCTTGGCTGTAGTTAAGAGGTGAATTGTTTAACTTATGTAAGGATGTTGGTTTGAGTTGCAAAGAAAAAGGGGTGTAAAATAAATGGGCATACAGTACTCACTACTGTGAACAGAGTTATTGAGTGCCAAACAATTGCCAGAAAGACATTTGAGTTGATCACACATAAGGTGGGATAACTTGAGTCCTGTGTCTTAAACTTTTATGCAATAATGTGTAGAATGGAGAAACCATAAGGAAGATCTAGAATAAAATGTTGGCAGTGGTATCTGTCAAACTATTTTTCAGTGTTATTCAGGTAATTAAGAACTATAGTATTCGATCATAGTGAACTGGTTAACAACCTCTTCTGGTCAATATGCTAATATTGTAAAAAATTAGTACACATTTACGATGTCTAGTAGAAATCCAAAGAATTCTTTCAATCCTCAAGTGGAGGTAACTTAATGATGATGTTGCTGCTGTAGCAGTATAGCATCTAAGGTTCTGAATTTATTAATCATCCAGGAAAATTTTGCTTACATTGCATTCTGTTTCCTTACAGCATATTGGTTTTCTTTTCCCTTTCTCTGCTGTGCACAGGCATTCGAGATGAAACTGTTCATACATATACCCCAAAAGTTGTGCGCATTGGTCTTAAACCACACCATTCAGTTGAGGCAGTCTCCTTGGATCACCTTGTATGTGTCTAATCCTCAACGTTTTGAGCATTATTATAAATAAGTTGTATACAGCCCTTGAGGCTGGAAGCATGACTTTGCTCAAGAATCAAATTGTACTAAATCTTTGAAGCCACTCCAAGGATTTAAAAATGTTCAGCTAGACAAAGTATTCTCAGCAGCCAATTTGGGTCATTCACTTGTAAGCAAACAATGACATGAGAAATTCTCCTTGACAGGTTAATCATAAGCGAAACTTGGCTGGTGACAAACAGAAACAAGGGGCCACAGGAGGGGATCTGGATAGTGTTCGTGCCACAGTCTTGGATGAAGCTGTCATTGTATGTAAACTCTGCCTTTTGTTGTCATTGGACTTTA